TAGCCTAATGATGGCCTCCTTCACTCGCATGGACACCTCTTTGGAGCTCATGCTGAGAGTTCCAGTGAACAGCTACCAAATGCAGATGTAACACTCAGAACCACCTCCAGGCCTTTGATCTGCTTGATTGGTCATGGGGTACCCAAGCCACCCCTGGCCATGCAGCTGCTTGTCAGCCATTCCTTCCATTACTTATGACCCACCAACGATGGGGGTGTGTGTATGCCACTGGCTGTACTTCCTGAATGGTGAGTGCCCCACTTTTGTCAAACCCCTTGAATTACAGCTGAAAGTCCTGACTTTGCTCCCAATGGGTGTGTTTCCTTTCAACTTCAATGTGGTGGTGTACAGAGGCCAAATGTCAAAACTGTTATCCTTGTTCCAATATTTCTGGTCCTGACTGTATGTGATATATGTATTTTTTACCTTTTTGCTTCCAGCTTAATTCATCTGCCTATTTTGTGTGGGTACATTTCGTTCTTCCGCTCCAAGGTCGGTCAGTCCTACTTGGTTTCTAAATTAGACCTCCTTTTAAATTAGGATAAGCTTTAAAGGATCTCCACTTACTCTCCAAAGGTGATGTAATTAATTTTAACCTCCTGCAACATGAGTTGTGATCAGGATAGTCACAAGTCTAAAAGCAACGGTTCTTTTCACTTGAGGCTTTGAAAACAAGTAACAACAATAGGAGTGGTGGTATTAGACTGTTAATATAATTTTGCCATAAAAAGACACCTGCTTTACTAAAATTATATTCAGCCTTTCCACTATAATTAACAACCAAGGTTGTCCTCTAACAGTCAAGTACAAAAAGTAAAATGAAATAAATGCAAAATTTCTACTGAAATAAAAGCAAATCAGTTTAAATTGAACAAATTTGCAATTCATTTTAACAGCCATCAAGCTGAGTAAAAATTCCTTTGCCTGCTGAAGGCAGAACCTGAAATAATGGTGCTGGCATGCCTTGGCTTGGGGTACTAAAGTTTGGGAGCAACCATGAAGATTCTCCCATTATATGACAAGGCAGCAAAGGCTGCTTTGACATTGTCCAGTCAAGGTCATGTGACTGGGTGACGTCATGAATTGCATCTGGAAAATGGCCCTGTTGCTAGTGAAGATGTTGCAAATCCCATATTTCTGATAGTTGGACTACTCTGAAAGCATGGCATTCTGACAGGTGATGCTTATGGAATGCTTTGGAATTGTAATTATGGCAGCATTGCCATACCCAGATCTGCAGTTGAAGAACTGCTAAAGCACTCCTGGCCACAAGTTTAGGTATCAGGGCTGAACCTAAAAATACATCTGAATGTTCAAGGTCTTTTGACTTGGTGAATGATACCACAAGATGCACAGTAGTCCAACAGTTCCCTGAATAGGTTTTTTATCAAGGCAGCAAAAGCAGTTGGATCAAGATAATCCGCCTCATCCAGAAATACTTAAAATTAAAATTCCCTTTTATGCAGTATAATTCCAGAGTTTATGCAGATGGACTCTGGGCCTTTGTAATGTAGGACTGTTGGTAACAGAGTTCCCATACTAGCCTTTAGTGCTCAGACACTGTCAATATATATCCTCTCAGGTAGAATTCCTCAATCTGTATCTGAACAAAAAACAGTTGCATGTCCAGGCTCACAAGTACATTTAGATTGGCCAGACCTCTCCTTAAACTGTAAGAGAAGACAGCTTCCTGTCTTTGAAAAGGTTACAGGAGAACTCTGGGAGACAAGGAATAAGGCTTTGTGTGCCAAGGTTGGGAAGAGGTTTTCTTCGGCCTCTAATGAAAATGATAAATCTATAAAAACTTTGTAGAGGAATCTATTTGGGTGCCATATCTCCATCTCTGGAGGGTTTTAAGAAAAGGCTGGACAGCTACCTCTCAAGAATGGCTTAATTGGTCTTCCTGCACATTGCAGAGGGTTGCAGTAGACGATTCTTCAAGCTCCACAGTTCTCTGTTTCTATAATTCTAAATGTTTCTGTCATTTTATAATCCAATTTGTAAAGGATTTTCGTATCTATCCTCAATCATTTCTCTTCCACAATTATTCTTAAATATTCCTATGCATTTTCCTGTGATTTTTTCTGATCTAAAAGATCTCTCATTTCCTTTTTCTTGCTTACATTACTATATATCTTGATAGACTTGATTGAGATTTCTTTCCTTGGTCTTTGTTGCTTGATATTGGAAGTCTGTATTGGGTCAACATACTGTACATCCATCTTTCTGCCAAGACCACCACCCATCTTTTTCTGGCTACCTTGTT